AATCCCTTCCCTATTCGGTTAAAGATTTGCAATACGACAACGCCAAATTCCGCCAGCGTTCGGTTTCTAAGGTTCTCCCCTGCATCTGGATCTCGACCTCTGCTGATCGATGTTATTTAGCTGTTTACCGTAACTAGTTTTCCGATTGATTTCAGCTCTACCTGACAGCTGCGTTGCCTGGTTTCCCTCCCGATTTTGATATTTAATAGTTTATGATGATGATACTCCGAATGGATGGGCTGAGATAATTCAATTGCGAGCATTTGTTGATCTCGTGGATTTTTCAAGTTGCTGCTTGTGAATGGGGAGCGAAAGTTTAGGTCCTGAAAGCAAAAACGAAATGACAAAGCGAATGCGAATGACAATGACTCAGTTGTTACGCGTCCGGAGACCTAGAACTATAGTGCCGGAAATTACTCATTCTTCTGTGTTCTACTTCGCCATGTTATCTAGTTTATTGAGGATTTCAGTTGTATTAGGACGATTGGAAGACCTCGTCTTCACATTTTTCTTTCTTATTCTTTTGGCTTCATGAGTTGATTGTGATTGGGGTGGTTTTCCCTTCTTAGGAGAGCATTCACTAGTGATGTTCATGTTTTTTCAGTTTTTCTTGTGCAGTTTCTATGATTTCTATTGTTTTGGTTAATTGTGAAATGACTGGCTTTATTGTGTTGATTTAGGTGATAACGCAGTCCTTGCTCACGAATAACATGAGACGCGATTGTGTTAGCTGCAGTACAGGAAAGTTTCTAGCATTGTTGTTGATCTTTGGGGTAGGATATCTTATGTTAACTCATCCAAGTACTGCCCACTCTCTTTCGGTTAGAGTTGCAGATAAATTGAGTATTCATGGGGAAGGTAAGAATATGACAGGAGGTAATACTGTGTTTGGAAGGATCGGGAGGAAGCCACCAAGGCTTCCTCCACGATTGCCACCCGGTGAGCATGGTAGTCACAATGATCAAGCTGTTCATGAACCAGGGAAGCTTAATACGGATTCAGGATGGGTAGTAAGGCAGCAGAAAGTAAAGGAGGCTTTTATCCATGCTTGGTCTGGCTATAAAAAGTATGCAATGGGAAATGACGATCTTATGCCTCTAAGTCAGAAAGGGACCGATGGATTAGGAGGCCTTGGTGCTACCGTTGTGGATGCCCTTGACACTGCTATGATAATGGGTGCTGATGACATTGTTTTAGAGGCAGGCTCATGGGTGGAGACACACCTTTCTGATTTGATTAGGAAGAAAGGCCAAGTTAATTTATTTGAAACTACCATTCGTGTCTTGGGTGGTCTTTTAAGTGCATATCATTTAAGTGGAGGGGAGAAGGGGGCAAACATAATGCATAAGGGGCCTAAACCATCTGTTTACCTTGATATTGCTAAAGCCTTGGCTGATCGTTTGCTATTGGCTTTCACTTCCAGTCCGACTCCTATTCCCTTCAGTGATGTTATTCTCCATGATCCTTCGGCGCATAGAGCACCTGATGGGTTGAGCAGTACTTCGGAGGTTTCTACTTTGCAGCTCGAGTTCAATTATATCAGTACTCTTTCGGGTAATCCAAAATACAGCATCGAAGCTATGAAGGTTTTGGAACACATGAAAGGTCTCCAAAAGGTGGAGGGACTCGTTCCAATCTATATAAGGTGTGAGTTTCCTTCTTTGTCATCCGTATGAGGTCATTTGCGTTAAATCATAAATTTCAGAAAGCCATCTTAATATATTAAGTGTTACAACTTCATCATGCACTTGTGAGGAATTGCCTTTTCCCCCGAAAGCTCACTAGTTTGTTAACTATATTTTAATTGAATTTTCTACTTTTCTTATTTCTGTTCCAAATAAATGTGAAATGTGGGCATGTTAGTCAAATCATGTTCAACCAAGAAGCGGGCTGGAGAATTCGATTTCCTGATAGTAAGAGCATCTTTAACCCAGAAATGGTTTCAGTGATCTCTGAGAACCAACTGCTTCATGCTTCCCATGCTCAATCGCTATTGGCTTCCAAATTTTATTCCATATTAAGTGACACTTCTATGTTTTTGTGCTGCCTATTACAGATTCTGTCACCTTTTGAAATTGGATCTCTGTATTTCCAATATTTCTGTTAAAATCAGTCTGAAATAATCCTAGGATTCTCCCTAAGGTTGGCCTGGCAAAAGAAAAAAGGGGTCATTTTTTAATTGTGGAGGTTTTGTATAGGAATATAAGCAAGAAGGCGACTTCACTTAAGATATAACTTTTCCTGGATGTCATGTGATACTTTGACATGGAGATTTAGCCAGCCAAGCAAACTCTCATCACATTTCCTTTAATCTAAAAGTAAAATCACTTTATGCATGTTGTGATTTCGGGAAAAGTCAGTTCACTTGATCTTATTATATAACTTCTCAATCCATTGCAGTCCAGACTCTGGTGGATTTAGTGGAGAAAACATCAGACTTGGATCTCGTGGAGACAGCTATTATGAGTACCTGATTAAGGTATGGCTTCAGCAGGGGAGCAATCGAGATAAGAACTTTACATATCTTCATGATATGTATACGGAAGCAATGAAAGGTGTAAGGCACCGACTTGTTAAGAAGTCAATCCCAAATGGCTTGGTGTTTGTAGGTGAATTGCCTTACGGACCTGATGGCGCTTTTAGTTCTAAAATGGATCACCTGGTATGTTATATCTAATGTGTTCTACGCCATTGCATTTCTTGCATATTTCTTGTGCATTGTTGCTCCACTATCTTTCAAAAGCCATAAATGCCTGAAATTGGCTGTTTATACGAGGTTGTTTTCTGCTGTGAAGTATCTCGTCTGCACATGGAACTCCTAAATTTAGAAACCAATGTTACTCTGTTCTTGATTTATGCATGTTTCTATACTACGTAGAGACCTACATTTCGTGTTGACGTTTACTATCTTCTCCATTTTCCATTCTTCATGTTTGATGCGCGTCTGCTGCACTGCTTTTGGTCAGTTTTGTCACGAAGATCGGTCCCTATTAGTAGTTAAGACTTGTCATCTCTTTAATTTATTTATTTTTTTGTCATAGAAACCCTTGCGGATTAACTAGGTAAGCACGAGAGAGCCACAATACACCGGCTTCTTTAATTTGCTTCAACCATTTGGGTAAAGTTTACACCAGATTATAGGTAGAGAGTTTCTGTTGGAGTGATGGAAAATGCACAATTGTGGAGGTTTTTGAAATGAACTGGATTAATGAAAGCTACTCATATGTTACTGCCCGCTGTTGGACGGTGGTGTGTATCTTGCTAGACTATGGACTTAGTGCAGAATCATTCCCTGGCAGAGTATCTTCTTTTTTCCCATCGTTATTGCATTGATCTGGTGAACATGTTACACCGATTCTTGATGGGGTTCTGTCTGGTCATTTTAGATTGAAGGAGTACCTGTATTATTTTCTTGGCTGTGTTTAGACGAATCCTAAGTTTAGATTGATGATAGGGCAATGGTGCACACTCTTCTTTATATTTTTGTCAGGTGTGCTTTCTGCCTGGTACACTTGCTCTTGGAGCAACTAAGGGCTTTACCAAGAAGAAAGCGATGGAAGAAAATTTGCTAAACTTTGAAGACCTCGAGAACTTGAAGCTTGCAGAGGACCTAGCGAAGACTTGCTTTGAGATGTATGCAGCAACTTCCACTGGTCTTGCTCCTGAAATTGTTTACTTCCATACTGAGGTTTGTAAGACTTGTTGAATGTGTTCAGTATTTTCTAGTGGTCTTAGAAACAAATGCATGTTGTGCTTCTTTATATTTCTATACAACATGACGTTTTCATTCTGAAAAACTAATTTGATAAATGTTTCTGGATTGAGCAGGAATATTCTGAAGAGGGTCTTGATGGAGGGAACAAGAGTTCGAAGTATATCAATGACATAATAATAAAACCTCTAGATCGTCATAACCTTTTACGCCCAGAAACTGTGGAATCGTTGTTTGTCTTGTACCGTGTTACAGAAGACCCAAAGTATGTTCATGAAATTTCATTTGATAGGTTACCTTGTTTCTTTGAATTTTCATTTTCCACCTTGCTCTGTCTGCTTTCCTAGAACTGAGATAATGCCTGCAGTTTCTAACCAATTCCCATCTATTGCAGATACCGTGAGTGGGGCTGGCATATTTTTGAAGCTTTTGAGAAGTACACAAAGGTTGAATCTGGTGGATACAGTTCTCTTGACGATGTAACCAGCCTTCCTCCTCGTAGAAGGGACAAGATGGAGACCTTCTTTCTGGGTGAAACATTGAAGTACTTGTACTTGCTGTTTGGGGATAGTTCTGTTATCCCATTAGATAAGTTTGTCTTTAACACAGAAGCTCATCCTCTTCCAATCAAAGGCATTTGAGAGAGGCTCATACTTATTTTCAATTAAGGGCGCTGAACTGAAGAAAATGCATTTGCAGTCTTAGCCCATTTAACTTATATGGCTAATCATTCACATGCTTCGTTACTCGCCTGGTTCCTAGGCCAACTCATTGTAGTGATTCTTTTTATGTGATCTGAATCATCTCCTTTCATGTACACTCAATTAGATACAGATGAACAATTTTTTTTCTCCAACTCTGTTATACAGCCACAGGATTGTGAAATTAACTTTCTCTATCTTTTCTCTCTTTGAAGTAGTGAGTGAAAGTGCTACTGTCATGGTAGCCTTCTTAAAGTCACTATCAGTGGCCAGATTCAGATGCTCATTTCACCAATTGATGTACTCTGTTCTCTTTAATATTTGTATTACACACTGTCTTCTGATCATTCTGGGTTTTGTTGACTACATACTTTCTATGTGATTATGAAGGAAAAATAGATGGTCTCCATCTCAAATAACACATATGTCATCAATGTCTGCATTTTCAGCATTGACGACTTTTGCAAATATATAGCCTCCATATTTCTCACCTGCAGTGTCACAAGTTGCTGACAAATCGGATGAGTATGCAGTAAACAAAATGCAATTTAACTGAGTAATAAGATTTCTGCTGGTTTTTTCTCTTCTATATGTTCATTATTTTGTTTCTACATATCAAACTCAACTAGTTCATGATGTTTGCAGACAATATCCAGGTTTAAGCTCAAACTCTCTGCCGAGACTAAAGAGATCTTACCAGCAATCCTGAGCAGCTCTTCCATTGAATCAGGTAGGATGATCAATTTCCCCCATAGGCTTGATGTTCTTTCATCTTGATATTTCATATGGATGGCCACTCTATTCTTGTTTACGCTTTTTGCTTTCATGTCATCAAAATAACTTGAAGAAGTGGCTTTTGTAGTTGCCTTTGCTGAGTTGAGCCATGTAGGATGGTGCCAACTGTTCTCTAATTTCTTTCCCTGACAACCTTTGGTGCCAACTACAGTTTCCTGCTCAATGAAATCTGTCACCGGGGTGTTTAATGCCATTTTGTTTTCGTAGCTTACTAAGAGGTCGTATATGCCTTTGTGTCCTCTTTCTGTTGCAATTGCCTTGGGTGTCCACCCTCTATCATCTGGCTTGTTTGTGTATGCCCCTCCTTCAAGCAGAATCTTTACCATTTCTACATGCCCCTTGGATACTGCAGCATGCAGAGTTGTTTGGCCATTCACAACATCTGCATAACCTCTACTATAATGGTAGCCTTGACTTCCTGTTATTGCACAACATTCAGGGATCATTTCTCCGTCGGATTCAGAGGGTATGCTCTCTTGCCCTTGCAGTTTCTACTTACATTGCAAAAATATCAGCAGTTAGTCTTCTGGTGTCGTGAAGGAAATAGATAAGTAGATATAATACTGTTCATGCTACAATTTACTATCTCTCACCATGAAAAGATTATGCATTATTTGATGCCCGTCTTCCCCATTTGTCTGTATGGTGTTCATTAGAGAAGTTCTGCTGAGCCGCAATATTTGAGAAAGCTCGGTAGTCCTAACGGTGAAAGGTTGAGGCTTGTTATATAAAACTCCCATCTGCCCAAACAGGTCTACTGCAGTAGCTTTGCCAACAACCTAAAGTGTCATGGGAGCAGATCAATCAAGGTTTGATTTGTCAAGCTCTCCAATCGAAATTTAATATAAAAGGAACTGTGTGCTTACTCGATCATGTCCATCAACCGAGGATAAGAAATTCTGCAAGGTGGAATTGACTCTAATTAGAATATCCTATGTGTGGAAAGTTATTTGTTTAGACTACTAGAAATGGCTTGAAACTAGGGCTTACCACTGTTCCTGACACCAATACATATAGGTCTGATGTAGATTCGTTCTGCAGTATGACATCTGCCCTTGGTGAAATATATTCAGCTTCCATTTCTGAGACCTTTACAAGAAAGTTATGTGCTTAAATATCTCTCTTCATTTCGGTAGAACTAATAAACAAATAAAAACAAGTAGTATTTAGAAAATTATACCAGCTGGAAAAGGAAGTCATGTGACACCCCTTGGAACAGATAGGTGTTTTCAACAATGGGATAGAAGAGATAATGTGCAATGCTTGAACGAATAGCCTTCGGAAGGCCATTCACAGTTTCTTGTTGCTTCAATCCTTCTGTTTTGAATTTCAAAGATATGTGTGAAAGCATTTGGTCCTGTATGCGGGGTGGCAGCTGATTCCTAGTGGCAAATTCTGAAGCAGCTCTGACCATATCCCTCTGCATAAATTAAAGGCAAGTTTCTATGCTTAGTATTCATATCATGAAATTAGCTTATCATTGAAGGAAATCATATTAACTGATAAAAAAACTCAAGCCTAAAATTGCTCAAATGACTTACGAGAAATTACACATGGGATTATTATATGATAGCGTAGACTTCTAGCATTTACTTGTGAAACATTTTATGAACTCTATTGAATTTTTCATTCTCTGATGGGATGAAAATTAAGTCAGAGGAGCATAATGCTCTCCAAGGGAAAGAAAGAGTATGTACGAAATTTCGTGTCCGGCTGGTCCAATGCACGACTAGGTTTGTCATGTTCCCGATTAGGTAAGATGTCAGCCCCAAGTTGAATAACATGTAGAATATATCAAAAAGCATCTCTCTTGGATTCTCTGCGTGCAAGTCTCCATATCCTGTTGTAGTTATTGTAGTGATAGACCAATACATTGAAGTGACATATCTGTTCCACAGAGAGTCTTCTTTGAAATTAGGGTTTACTGCACCAATCCAGGTTCTTGTGGGGTCAGGGTATCTGTCTGCAATGAGATAGTTGAAACATCCAGCACAGTGCACCGCAAATAATGTTACCTGAAATGCACCAATGAGAAATTGGATGGTCGAGGTCATCTACGGAAGTGGCATGTATTTAAAACTTTGGATTTTAGTTTATAAATGATTTACAGAAACAAGCTTCGTGCAACGAGTCCAGAAGTAGTTGAATCTGATGTCTTTCTCAAGCCTGAAAGGAAATTAAGCGGTGACGTTGATCATCTTTATTATTGCGTTACTAAGTTCCATTTTTGTGAAGAAAAAGAAACGCAAGCCACAGGGTTTGTAGGTAACAGTGATTGACCTTGCAAACAGGGAGCTGACTCTCCTGAGACGCCATAGACGGAGCATGTTGAGTAATTTGAACCCAAGTTCACTGCTTTGTTCTCTGAACAGGAGGCTCAAGGGCTGAAATGGTGCACATGGATGCTCATATTTCAACCTTGACTGGACTCCTCTGTTGTATTCATGCCTTTGATCTAAGCTACAGTTACTTTGCATTATAGTTTAATCACCATCGTTATTTTGACATGGATGCTCATGCAACCTTCAGGAAAACTATGCAGATGGGCGAACTTCCTAGGCAGGCAGATGGGAGGTGAGGAGATTGGGAGTCCTCTCCGTCAATCTACGCGGAGGGCAATAACTAATAAGTGAAATGGGGAGGGGACCCTGTAGACGACAAAAGGGTATCCCGTAATCCCTCCCCACGAGATTCTTTCCGGGTATAAAGGTGGGTTGGACTTGGAAGGAAGAATTCAGCCACTTGTACAAGATTTTGGGGTCGCGCCGGAGATGCATCAAAATACCAAGACAATTCACACAGACATAGGGAAGAAAGGGGTATGGGGCCAGCCAGGTCAAGTGGAACTGTACCTACGCTGCGCATCAAAATGTGGCCTGTGGGTTGGGTATTAATCATGAGGTAATCGTGGTGACATTCTGTATTTGCTTTTCCTTTCGAACGGTACCGATCTTTGGATATGTATCAAATTTGTCTATATGTTAATATTACCGAATAGACCTATTATTTCATGGACATTATATTCGTTTCAATTTTGCTATATTTTGAATTCTTCCCCTTATTAACATTTGTTTTAATTTTGCTATTTGACATGATTTATATAGCTAAAAAGGTGGATTGCTGAAAGGTGAGGGAAAGGAGAAAGCATTTGGGAATAGGGCGGGACAGCTCGTGGGGTTTCAAAAGTCTTTTTCGTTGGAAGGAAGGAGTGGATGATCCTTCTGGAGAGCTTGGTTGCGAGTAAGGTTAGGTTTACCTTACTACCAGCAGCATGGGGAGTTTAATCGGTCCTACCACAGCACGATGATGATCCCCCAACCCCAAAGTTCCTCTAATATCCCGGGATGACATGCCATGTGTTGCGGAGGTACAAGATCTAACCCTCTGTCTCCTTCCTTCCACACGTCCCCTGGTCAAACATGGTTTAATTACTATTGCTGCACAGTACACACTCGCGCCAGCCCACTTTAAAGCATTGGTTTTGCGAATGCATTTTCATTAGTCTAGTATTCTTTTGGAGGAAAATTGATGTGATTCCCCACAGCAGAATAGCCCCGGGGAGTGGGAGATCGGGGAATGTGGGCAGAATGGCCTCGGTTAGGTGGGTTAAATTCCCGACGGGGGATTTGAGATTGGGTATTGGGCAATGTTGTTAGAATCGAACTGGAGCATGACCCGGTATGCGAAAGGCTTGCACTTTAGTGTTCCTATCGGATTTAGACGGTTAAAAAATTGTTAGAGAACCAATACCTAATAAACGTTATCAGTATAAATAGTGGACATTTCTTAATAGAGTTCATCTCTTTCCTTCAAAATTGTGAAATGGAAATAAAGATTCAGTTTGAGAGCCCGATGTTTTTTGTTTATTTCAATTTTCAATTTTTTGCAATTTTTTAATTAAATTTAGTGGTTGAATGACAAAAATCGGACGAGCGGCTCGAACGATTAACCGCCTCGGCTGCTCGCCAACCGCTTCATAAAACCGGAGCGGCTTTTAGACTGTGCCGAGCCGATTTTGTGATGGGTGGAGCTTTTACCGGTCGGGCCGAGCGGCTCGGCTTTAATAACACTTTTTGGTTTAGGATTTTTTTTTTTGGTTTTTGATTATTTTATTTGCCCTACTTTATGAAAGGGCTTAAGACATGAATTTTAGGGTTAGAGAGATTATGTTGAATAGAAAACCCATTTTGGTTCATTGAGTTTTGACTCTTGAATTTGCTCTAGTGAATTGGTAGACTCCAATTTTCTGAGTGTTTGTTTCGTATCAATCAAGTATTCACCTTAATTGTGGCCGACCCTCTACCCTTATATTGATAGAGCCTTCTTCCAAGTGTGCGATTGCACTTCAATCAGCCTTATCCTTTTTACTCTTTTTGTGTTGTTGAGGGGAAAATTCAGAAAACCCTAGAAAGAATGTGCCTGCGGTGCGACTTTGATCAAAAGAACCTAGGCTTTTAGGAGCTCAGGATCTTATCAACTGGTATCAAAGCCCTGTTCAAATTCATCCTGCGATTTGATGATTCCTAGTTCAAATCAGTGGCAAAGAGAAGAAGTTCACTGAGTTTTTCCTTCAAAATCAAGCAATGGCGAAAGAGTTAGAGCAAGGTAATATGTTATATACTCGTTGTTTGGTTCAAGAGAATGTGTGTTTAATGCTTGTACATGTAGGGATCAATCATATTTGATCAGCTGAAGAACAACAACGAAATTGGGGCTGTCAATGTGTCTACATCCAGCACTGTACATTATAGAGTTTCCTGACGAGAAGATTTCAAGTCTCGTGGTTGCACAGGTTTATGTGAAATTCGCAATTGGCAAATATGAAGACGAGGTATTGTGCGACCTAGTGTACAAGCTTGCCAATCAAATTGTGATGGGACAAACCTGGTTCCAAGATCGTGGAGTTCATCTGGTTAGTAGAAGATCCAAAAGCTTCTGATTGAAACATCAGAAGAAGGTTTTCGTTTTGAAACCTTTATCCCCGAATGAACTTGCTGATGATTGGAAGACTTTGCAGCGATGACAACAAGAGTATGAAGCAGAACAAGAAGCCATGAAACCGCTTGCAGTACAGATAGTGCAGATGGGAGGCTTGCTTCAAAGTTCAAACCATGGTGGAGCAAAGATCGAGTTTGAGTTCTTCGGTGCAGCAGAATCCGAGTTCTTAGGAAGTCGATGTTGAGCTAGAGGACGATTCAATGAAGTTGTTGATAGAATCGTGAATATCTAGGGTTTAGAAATATAGCAAGAACCAGAATTGGGGAATGGAATTTGGGAATTGGAAAAGAAACTGAAGCAGGAGGGGAGCAGAAAAGAGACGCAACTCTTGAGACGAAGAGGGAGTTCGGACGTGTGAGAGGTAGAGAGAAGACAGTAGGTTTAGGTTTAGGTTTTTGATAATAATATCCTCCATGAAATTACTCCACGGTTTACAGAATATAAACCCGAATAATTACCCTTAGCTACCTAAAGAATACTCCTAACCCGAATAGGCCAATAATGCCTAAAATTCCCCAAATAATCCCTCAGCTATCCAAAATATAAGTAAAAGACAAATAATCCCAATTAAAAAAACAATACTAGTTATGTTTCTATCATCCCTCCCTATTTCGAAACGACCTTGTCCTCAAGATTACCCTGACTCCTCTTTATTCTCTTCTCGCTCCCATACTGTCCACTCCTTGGCCTCGTCTTCCTAGCGTGCCACCAGCATCGTCAATCCGGTTTAGCGCACTGATGACCAATGGTGAATCTCTCATAGCAATTGAAACACTTTTCTTCCCGCCTCTTATGATCAATTTCTGCAGGAGATAACCTGGCGAACCCTTTCGGGATCATCCGAGGTCCCGACCGAGTAGCGCCCGACGTCGTCGCGGGTGTCGCCATAGCTCCTACCCAGGCCACCGGCCCGGCTCCTCCACCAACTCCACCCGACGCGCTTCTACTAGCCCCTCCACTAGCCTTTTGGAAGCACCCTACTGTACTCCGCCAGCTAGCAATTTCTTCCTCCTTACGCTCTGCTATGCGAAAGGCAATCCTCAAGGAGTCCGGCTCGAATACCTTCACTACCACTGCGATCTCCGGGCACAACACGACCATACACATGCCAACCAAGGTTTCTTCTGGCACCCCCTTGCACATGTTTTCCAGCTTGAGAAACTCTGCTCGGTAGTCGACAACCGTCTTGGTCTGTCTCAGCTTTGCCAATTGCTTGGGAGCACACCCCTCCGATCTCCCGAACTGATAACGCAACTCCTCCTGAAAACGGGGCCACGTAATTGGGGTCTCCGCCTCTGCATAGGATCTCCCCATCCGTTCCCACCACTTCAGCGCATCTCCCTCCAGATAGAACGACGCCAGCTGCGCCTTCCTCTCCCCTAGAACCGGGTGGTTCCTGAACCAGCAATCCACTGCATACAACAAGAGGCCAACGTCCTCCCAGCCGTTGAATTTGGGAAACTCAATGACCGGTGGTTTGGCCCTAAACACCAGCTCATTACCACCCTCATAATTTTATCCATAACCGCCATACCTGACAATGCCGTGACCGTCAGCGCATGGATCGATGTACCTGTCCGCCCCCGGTTTGAGAACCCATGCTTCCTCCCTGGCGATCGTACCACGTCTGTAGCTTCCTAGTTGCAATCGTTCCCCTAGGGGCCCTGCGCTCGTGGGCCCGAATGACGTCCCCGTTGATCGAGGAGTCATGAAAAGAGGATACCCTCCGCGCGACCCCCGTCCGCCGCTGCCTCCTGCCAGGTTTGACCCGCCCCTCGGTCCGTCTGGTTTCAGGTGGGGTCGGCTTGACCCGGCCAGCCTCAGATCCGGTCCAGCCCCCCCTGCCCAGACTAGTCCGTTTGCCGGACCCCGGCTCCTCTGCATCGCCGACCCAAACTCTTACCCATGGTGCACGGCGTCCGCCCACAACCCTGCCTTGTTGGCCAAGCATAGCTCATCGCTCCCATGGCGGCGACCTTGGCCCAACCAGCCGGGCCACTCCTCGCTCGTGCTCGGCCTCAGCCATATATAGGCCGAACGACTCGTTGCGGATCACGTTGTCATACACATCCATCTTGGCCTTTCCTCGCCTAGCTGCCAACTCCTAGGCCGACGGTGAGGGTAACAGTCCAAGGCCCATCATATCCCGCCCCTTGCCCTAGGCCCACCACCAGTGCACCGCCTGTCACTAGGCCGTGTTAAGCCTCCATCCCGCCAAAATCGCTCGGCGGTGCTTCGTCCACCCTGACCAGCGCCGACACAGTCTGGCCAGCCTTCATCGCCGCCGCCGTGGATTATGCCTCCTCATGCGGTGGCTCCTTCCTCATCTGCAAGAACTCCACCATCATCCTCTGGAACCCTTGAAAATCCTCGCGAAGACCCTTGATCTCTAGTCTAGGGTTTAGACATATAGCAAGAACTAGAATTGGGGAATGGAATTTGGAAATTGGAAAAGAAACAGAAGCAGGCGGGGAGAAGAAAAGAGCCGCAGCTCTTGAGAGGAAGAGGGAGTTCGGACGTGTGAGAGGAAGAGAAAAGAGAGTAGGTTAGGTTTAGGTTTTTTATAATAATCTCCTCCATGAAATTACTCTCCGGATTACAGAATATAAACCCGAATAATTACCCTTAGCTACC